GGGAGGCCCGTGGGGACATAGTGCGGTGGCTGGGGCCAGGGGAGTGGGGACAGAGTGCTGTAGCCGGGGACAGGGGAGTGGGGACAGAGTGCTGTAGCTGGGGACAGGGGAGTGGGGACAGAGTTCTGTGACCAGGGACAGGGGAGTGGGGACAGAGTTCTGTAACCAGGGACAGGGGAGTGGGGACAGAGTTCTGTGGCCGGGGACAGGGGAAGGGGGACAGAGTTCTGTAGCTTGGGAGAGGTAACTGGGCAGTAGGAAGAAGGAATGGGGGGGGATGGGAACAGGGGAAGGGGAGTGGAGGCAGAGAGTCCCCTGCATCTGCCGCCTCCCAGGATTCCCCCCGGCGCAGGGAAGCCCCGCACGTGCCTGCCCCAGGGCTGACTCATCCCTCCTGTGCGGTGCAGGGAAGTCGCTGTGCTCCTCCTCCAGAGCTGATGACCCCTCCCGCAGTACACCTGTCAGAGCAGCTAGTGTCACTTCCGGAATCTCTGGAAGTGGTGCTAGCACACCCGGCAGAGCAGCTAGCGCACTTCTGGAATCGCCAGAAGTGGCGCTAAGCTGCGGGACTTCTGTCCATCCCCAGGAAGCCGGCACTACTTACATTTTCACTTGAGGTAGGTAGTGGGGCTTCTCGGGGGTGGGAAGGGAAATGAGGGGGGGCAGGGTGGGCAGGACGCCTCACAATAGACCGGTCGAGGCCCCACGATCGACCAATCGATTGTGATCGACTTGCTGGTGACCACGGTTCTAGAGGCACAAGTTAGTAACCATTGGGGCTGTTGGAGTGTTTATCCCAATGCCCACAGGACTGAGTGAGAAGGGAGAAGTGCAGCTGTGGTGGAACCTAGAGGGGCCGGGAGGGGGTGCAGAATGTTGTTATAGTACCAGGCCAGTTCTGGGCACCACTGAGGACGAATTGCTCAAAAACAGGGCTAACCTACAGCCATCGGCTGAAGTCAATTCAGATGAGGTTGGCTCCTTGAGCCAAACAGAGCTGGAGACTGTCTCCTTCATGCAAATCTGTTCCCTGTTCATTGTCTGCCGCTGGTTCCTCCCTCCATTCAGAGACAGCTACTGACAGGCCTAGGAGTTGTTTTGTTTTCCAGTTGCAAGGAAAACTTGGCTGGGATGATTTAGTTGGGGTTGGTCCTGCTTTTAGCAGATGATTGGCTTAACTATTTTGAGTAATTTTGTAGAATCTGTAAATTTCACTACCTCACTATTCACCCCCTTTTCTAGAACATTTATAAGTTAAATAATAGTGACCCAAATGCAAATCCCAGCAACACAACACCTATTCCTATCCTTTCCCCACCCTATCTTTTAAGTGAGAACCCAGCAGTGGTTTCAAAGTAAGTGGAGTAGTTGGCAATGGTTTCAATGCTCTGTAAAACCCAGAGTGTGAGTGTCAGTGTACTGGGGCACAGAGTCATGTCTGCCATGTGGTGGGCCTGTGCTAGGGGAAGGAAGACTTAGTCCTAACCAATCCCACTGATTACTAAGGAGACATTCTGAGACTCCAGGCTGCCCAGAAGGATTTGGGCCCCTCACACAGATATAGGAGTTATGAATAACAGATCCCCCCATGTCAACAGGCAGTTTGTGTCTCACTTCCCCATCAGGCTGTGTCACTGTGTGAGAGCTACTGTCATCATCCCACACCTGACAGTAATAATCAGCCTCGTCCTGCGCCTGGACCCCAGTGATAGTTAATGTGGCCCTTTGGCCAGAGCTGGGCCCAGAAAATCTCTCAGGGATTCCGGAGGGTCTCTCACTATCCCTATATATGATGAGTTGTGGGGCCTGGCCAGGTTTCTGCTGGTACCAGTGCACATAGTATTTGTCAAACTTTTCTCCTGTGCAGGTGAGCTGAGCTTATTGTCCTGGAGACACAGACACTGACGGTGGCTGGGTCAGCACGTACTGGGCGAGAGAACCTGCAAGAGAAGGAGAATATCCAGGGTAAATTCATTATTAGAGTTCTCTGCTGGCAGCTTGGGAAACCACTGGGAGAAATTACTTTCAAATCAAAGGCCCATGTGACTGAGTGAGAGAAGCCCCCTCCCGCGCTTCACAGCACCTGAGCAGTAGATGAACAAAATGAGGAGCAGAGGAGCCCAGGCCATGGTGGATCCAGATGAGATCGGTTCCCTTAGCCAAACAGGTCTGTGGCTGGGATCCTTTGATTGTCTCTTAAACACCTCACAGCTGGAGACTGGCTCCTTCATGCAAATCTGCTCCCTGTTCATTGGCTACTTCTGAGTGACAGGCCTGAGAGTTTTGTATTCCACTTACAAGGGAAACTTGGCTGGGATGATTTAGCTGGGGTTGGTCCTGCTTTTAGCAGGGGGTTGGATTTGATGACCTCATCAGACCTATGATTCTGTGAGTATGAAAAATAAAGCTCATTGTGGGGGCGAGGGGCTCTAGAAGCACAATATCTGCTCAGACCATTACTGGATAGAGCACTGGCTCCAGGGTGAGGAGTCTGGAACGTCGGCTCAGCACTGCTAAGCAAGCTGGGTTTCTGTCATGGCCCAGAACTGTTTTCAGCTTCTGGAGATCCTAGCTGGTTTGGGGCTGTGTCCTTAGTGGGGTAGCGGCTGGGTCAGGCTGGCACTGCAGGTTGTGCAAGTCTCTGAGACCTGCTGCAGGTGTGGTCTCATGGCCGGCTCTCTGTGCACAAGGCCAAGGTGTGTGTGTGGTGGGAGAGGGGCGGAGGAGAGGGGGTGGGAGGAGGAAGGAGAAAACTTCTGTTCCTCTCCCCTCAGCTCCCTCCCCTGGGGTTGGGTTTTGGTGAACTAGTGGTGCCCATCAGCCACAGCAAGCAGGATGCCAGGGTGAACAGCCCTGACCCAGAGAGAGACACAGAGAGGAGAGTGGGGTGTGTGGGGAGTGGGAATCCAGAGCACACAGTATTCTTAGGGGATAAAAAGCCAAATCCCAGAGATGTCTCCACCTCTCCCCTCAGCTCCCTCCCCTGGGGTTGGGTTTTGGTGAACTAGTGGTGCCCATCAGCCACAGCAAGCAGGATGCCAGGGTGAACAGCCCTGACCCAGAGAGAGACACAGAGAGGAGAGTGGGGTGTGTGGGGAGTGGGAATCCAGAGCACACAGTATTCTTAGGGGATAAAAAGCCAAATCCCAGAGATGTCTCCAGCCCTGGGCAGACAGCAACTCTCCTGCGGATCCCCTGGCCTTGTAAAGCCCACAGCTGACATAAACACTCCTACGCAGGCTGACAAGTTGCTCACACTCACTATGAAGCTGGACGGCGAATAGGCAGCTTTGACAGTCTGAGGCCAGTGAGCCGTGGAGATGAAAAGGGGGATGTTGTATGAGGCTTAACCAAGGCTGCAACTCCACCCACTTCCTTTGCTCCCAACAGGTGTGACTGTTGTGAAAACTCCTGAGAGAGCAGGTGGGTGGCCCCTGTCCCTCCTCTAGCAGTTCCTGGGGGTTGTCAGCCAGGGCTCCAATTCTTTTGAAGTCTGACCCACCTGGCTCCATTGCTCGAG